GAAGTGAAGTTATGTAATCTAATTCCTAGAAATCGTTGTATACAAATCTGGAATGAGGAACTCAGAAAATATTGGCTGAAATTGACGTTTACTCGAGTGAGATCACCTTAGACTACTCATCTTCACTACGGTAACATCCGAAAGATGTTAGTGATGCTTGCTAGGTTTGCAATTCTCGCCAAAACATTCCCACTAGTTTTTCGAGGTTCTAAAATCCCAAGTAACCACTAAGCCCGCTAATTCACCTTTTTGCAATATAAGGCTGATACACGGCTAACATAGGGCATGCTACACGGTAGGAAAAAATACTGACATTTAAGTTTAAAAAAACTCACCTTTGGGTTCTATCATTTGAGGTCTACCGTTGAGTGAATCAGAAAAGCGGTGATGGGTCAAATTTATTCATCTATTGAGTAATAATAGATGAACTCAAATTTAAAGTAATTTTCTGTTAATCATCGTTTAGCTCAAAACGTAGTATGTATTTGTCATTATTGATTGAATTAGTGCTTTCCGTAGTTGTTCAAAATGTACATGTTAGGAAATTGTATTGCGTAAAGTAATTTACGAAGAATATCCTGAAATATTTATCGATACATTCCGTTTAGCTAAAAAACGCTGCGATTCAAAGTAAAATATAACTCAATTTTCAGTTAAAAGAACTCAACCGTTATGTTTTCACCGTTGGATACTTTTAACTTAATTTTGGATGAAAATCATAGCCATCGACGCTGTCATTTGTTTGTGCTCCATCTCCTCCGTTCCTGCTCAATTAGTCATCGCATTAGTCTTCGTTAGTGTTTGGTACATATCCCGCATAAACATAAGAAACGCCTAACCACCAATTCAGGATATCATCCCAACTCTATGCGGTATGGTCGTACCATCTATGATATCGTTAGTGTATGGTATCCGTAGGGGATAGTGACAAAAAAAGTTGCAACGAAAACCAGTTGGATGCTGGTACGTTGGGTATTTTTCACCTATTCCATTCGATTGATCGTTAGGTAATTTTTACTCAATGGATTCTTCATCAAGATTACTCAAAATTGAGTTTTCTTCTTTAACTTCATTTTACCTAGCCCCACTGAATCCACGTGTTGAGTGAAAGGAACATTAGCCGCATATTAGCCTTATATTGCAAAAAGGAGAATTAGCGGGCTTGTTAGCTACTTGGGATATTTAATGATTGGAATTTATATATCTATAAAAATAATCAAAACATGTTCTCCATCCATGCTCTTAAAATTTATCTTAGTCCCCGAATTTTGAAAAGCTTCAAGTTGGGATCCTAAACTTTGAATGAGACCAAATAACAAAAATAAACAGAGTCAGAAGAAGTGTCTGTTTTAATCATTTACTTTCACACGCAAGGAGTTGCACTTCAAACCAGTGTAGATGAATTGCGTGTGTTTTGAAAATCTTCGCTGTCACGTACGAGCGAAATGAACAAATGAGTTCAATTTTCATCAATGAATACTCGCGTAACACAAGATCGATTCTCTTCATAGATTTTCTCTTTCGCGAATAACGCGACGGAAAATGCATTTTCCATCGAGTGTGTTGGTTCAGGTACAAGCTAATATCATCTTCTGTAGAACTGTGCTGCGAGCATAGCGATAATTTTTGTATTTTGCCGTGGTAAACCGAAGAGAAAGTCGATGAAGAGAATCGATCAACGAGGATAGGCCCTTTTCTCGTGTTACGCGAGAATATACGTTTGTTTATATTCACCAGTGCTTGATTATCCAACCCAAAATTGTCAAAATCAGAAGCAATCCTCAAAAGCAAAGTAATCAAATTAATTTTGGACATAATGATTATTTTGAATACTGTCGACCCCCTCCTAAAACCAGCGAGGGGCAATAATTTTCCATCAATTTCTGTGTAAAAACCAACATGACACGTTCTTACGCGCTATATTTGTTTAAAATGAAAATAATCATTTTGCATTTGATTCTCAAAATCATCTCCACCAAGATGAAGACGAATAGTGGCGCCAGTGATGTAGTGGTAAGCGTGATTATCTCTCACCCCAGCAGGCCTGGGTTCAATCCCAGTCGACGCCACCGGGATGTTCTGAGGCATAACAGGGAAGGGAAATAAAGGCGTTGGTCCCCGGTTCATGAGGGTCGATAGGTAGGGTCCAGGTGTGGAAGCTGCCCCCCTGGCGTTGGTAGCAATGGTGCTCAGCACGGACAACAAGATCGACGGGAAACAAATCAAGGAAGAAAAAAAGATGAAGACTAATATAATTATTGACAACAACACAGGCCATAATGAACATCTAGCCACGAATGGAAAAAAAAAAACAAAAGTTGACTTCGATACACAGTGGTTGCCTTGATCCTGGGACGGGACAATCGGGTAGCAATTTCGAGCCAATTTTCTGTCAAATCCGATTCAGTTTCTGATTGACCGATTTGACAGTAGCAATCGTGGAATAAAAAGGACAAAGTGATCGCATCAATCTGGCTCGCAGTGATGCCGGAATCAATGTTTACGTTAATGGCGTTATTAATTGTTTATTTTTGCGATAGGAAAATTGAAAAATTGAGTGCACTGCGTGTTTTAAGCGATGGATATTGTTGTTTGTTTATGGTTGTTTTTTTTTTGTGTTGAGTAAAACTGATGTACAAGCTGTTAAACTGCGGTAGAAACAATACAACCTGTTACTACTCTGCATTGAACAAATTCTAGAAAATTGTTTCGCCTAGCTGTAGCAATGCAAAGAGAAAATCGATGAAGAGAATCGATCATCGCGTATTCGCCCTTATGAATGCTCACTGTCGAAATGATTTTTATCAGCACTGGTCAGAAGTCCAAAAAATTTAATTTTTACCAAACAGAGTACAATTTAAAAAAAATTGATAAATTTAAGTTTAATATGTTGTTAAGTTTGGTCTTGAAAAATTCTCAACGTTATATGTTCCAATAAATACTAAGGCCAATCTTTCACTTTTCAAAATTCAACCTAATTTCGCATTCAGTCTAATGGCTTTGGCCTGATGATCCATGATGGCGTGATGGCGCTACACTGGAATAAAATACCATGTTTTCTTTATGGAAGTCGGGTAAGAACTAAAAGCACTTAAATTGGTTCAACTATATATGGCAAAAGTGAGTGAACAACACGAATTTAAAAAAAAAACCAAAACATTTAAAGAACAATACTACAAAATGCATCCTCATTACTGCCATTAATATTGTTATGCATATTTTTCACAGCATCCTCTTTTCCACATTTCTCCAAACATAACTCGGGCTGCGTAACACAGTACATTTTCATCATGGTTCTCATTTTTCACTTCAACTATGACAAGAGCCGGAAAAGTGAAGCTCACTAGTATACAATGCACCAACAACACAGACCGGGCATCAAACAAAATGAAACTCGCTTCCGCATCCAGTTTAAATGGAAAGTGATGCTATATAACTAACTACCTACAGTGTATCTCAAAATTGATCGTACACCCTAGAAGATTTATTTTTTAACATGGTGAATAGGCGATTTTTTTTAAAACCATGGCTGGTGATTTAACCGATGTTTATTGATTTATGGCTATTATGTTGGACTTTATTTGAGGAGCGTATGAAGTTAGATTTTTACCTAGTGGACGAATTTTAGTAAAATTAGTGGTAGATGAATGATCTTTATTACGACTAAAAATGAGCAAAATTTCAAAAAGTTATATCCATTTTATTTCAAGAAAATTTCAAGATTATAATTGCTCTAACTTTTTGTAAACTCAACCAAATATGCCCAATACTGAGCCAATAATTGATAAATGTATGCTGAATCAGCTGTCAAAAATTCAGAGACGTATATTTTTAACTTGTGCTTTTAAAGCCGTTTTTCTAAAATTTAAGTACTGCTGTACGATCAATTTTGAGATACACTGTATATCTTCACTCAAGCTGCTTCTTCAATTCATTCGGGAAGGATTTTGCGCTCGTCAGCAGCCTGTACATATTTACTACAGGGAGAAAAAAAATGCATTTCAAATGAGCAACTTGCAACCCTTTCACCAATGAACTGCAACTTTCTCAACTGGAACGTAATCTAAAGCAAGACTTTGTGCTGGAGTTTGCCACAGATCTACTCAAAACATTTTTTTTGCTTTTCTGGTGTTTCTGGATTCAGAACGTAGTCGACGTGAGTTACCCAGAGATGAAACTTGCTCATTTATGTCCCACTGTGCATCAGTTGGTTGGCTAGCTGGGTGGCATTTAGCTGCCGAGTGGAATTATAATAAAATTTTGTCAGAACAGTGCAGAACCCCCCACAGACAGCGGGGAAATTGCAACACAAGCTGTGCACTTGATTGCTTTGGTTTGATAGATAGATTAAAGCCACCTTGATGAAGACATTCGTCGCGTCCGTGCTTTGAGTTAATTAAGTTGGAATGAATTTCTAACGCAAGTGAAAAAGCCGGCAACCACTCTGCAGGTGTTTAAAGATTACTGATACCAAAACTAAGTTTACCAACTCAGTTATAATTTAAGATTGCATCCTTTGCATACCCCAAAGCCCCACATAAACGGTGATAATGGTGCGATATCTAATTAAATACAACTACGCATGAATAATTTCAATTTACTTGCAAATTCACTTGCATTTACTTGAACATCAAGAGCTGTACACCCTCAGGTCTGTGTCTGCGAGAAGCAGTAGAGTTGCAAGTACCTCTCTACTTTGACGGAGCTTTCAGCTTCAAGAGTATACCTACTAGAAACAACCTGTTTTCCTCCATTCTGCCACCGATGCAAACGAGAATGTAGGGCAATACGAGATGAAAAGTTTTTCCGAATCACAAAGCGAGCCCCTCAGGCCAGGACGTCCGTCATTCTCCAAGTGGCCGGAAAATTTGATAGCTCAAGTGTTATCCTGTTTCCTTTGGCCGCTATTACCGTCACTTGCATCCCTTACATCGAACATCATAAGCAATTAGACTCGCCTTGCTCACAATTGCCTCTTTTCCTTTTTTCCTTGCTTTCAGAACAAGGCAGTCTGACGATCGTAAGACGCACCAACAGTCGGAAAAATACGCACATCCTGCAGCAGCAACTTCAACATCAACAAGAGCTACTTGACTCTGACACCGGTGACTATCAGAACCAGCAGCAACAGCCAGAGGGGGACTTTTCCCAGCAGCAGCCTCTGTCGGAAAGTGAACTCGCGCTCGTCAATAGCCAGCTCAGTCGAGAGCTCGAGAGTATGCAACCAACAGCCGGGTCCGGGTCCGGGTCGCCGCCGTCCAGCGCCGTCGTGCACCGTGCCGATACGCTCACAGGGGATGAGTTGGAAAATGTTGACTTGGCCACAGACAATCTACCAGCGGTCGATACACCAGATGCATGTGATAAAGCCGCACTAAGGTAAGGCATTTGGTGTGTTTGTGATGTGCTTTGAATATGTATAGGACAACCAGGGTATTGACTTGTCAATCGAAAATGCAAAATTGATGATTGTATAGAGCTTTTGAAAACGCTATCTGGAGGAATACAGAATGCCACAGAGTGCAGGAATGAATATTGTTGAACCTGCTGTTCACAAAATGTGTCCAAACAAATCTTTCAAATGGACTTCTCGGCAGAAATGTTCAGTTGAAGCATGGAACATTTGCAGGAATTTAAGAACAGTGTAAATTTATTCTGGATCTTTAATCAACAGTGCAGAACAAGTTACGATTTGTAGTAATTACATAAGGTGCTGTCCACGAACCATGTGGCCAGTTTAGGTGGTGGAGAGCTGGCAAGTGTTGTGTTGGAGTAGGGGTAAGAGGGGCATAGTGAGCATCCCGTACAGCAGCTTGGACTTCCGGCCGTTCGGAACAAATTTATTGGTGGTAGGATCAATCTCATAATGATATTGAACCTACTACCAGTTGATTTGTTTCATGCAGCTTGAGATCCAGGGCCAAACTGTGGGATGCTCACTATGCCCCACCTATTCACTATGCCCCTCCTCCCCTACGCGATAATAACAACAAACTGAGCAGAAGACCGTGGGTTCAATTCCAAGCTCCTACTTTTTACAGGATCGTTGTTAGCACACCAATTCAGTTTATCGTTTACCAAAACGAATGCTGCTGCAATCCCTACCTTATTATCCAACGTCCCAGTGATTACTCGTGGAAGTGCAAAGGATTTCACGGTTTCCATTACCCCTGGAAGGCTGGGACAAACTTTTTATTTTCTAAAATTTGTATCTAAGAGGAGCCTTATCCAATTAAGTTTAGATTAATATAATGTAAATATAATTTCGGTGAGTGGTTCTTACATCTGTTGGATGGTACTTCCCCCCAGGTACATCCCATTTGTTATATATTCATGAATGTGTGGGGACGGGGGTGTTTTTTAAATCTTATATTTTATCTATCATTGCTATAACATATTTATTTTTACGGAAATCATAGAGAACAATCATAAGACCCCATGCCTGTTCCAGATTATGGTTCCATTTGGTCAAATTTATTAACTATCATATCCATATCAAGCAACATATCAAATCACATCTACTCGATGAAATATGACCAACGGCACTCAAAACAACAACTACGACAACTTTAGAGCCATATGGCCTCCATAGAATCGGTTCTAGATATTCCAGAATATGGTTCCACATGACAAATTTGATATCGCTCATAAACATATCAAGCGACATATCAAATCACATCTTCTCGATGAAATATGGCCAATGGCACTAAGAACGGCAACCATAGAGCCATATGGCCACCGTAGAACCACTTCTGGATATTCCGGATTATGATTCCGTATGGCGATATTTGATTGTCTCAGAACCATATCAAGCGACATATCAAATCACACCTACTCGACGAAATATGATACAAGGCACTCCAAACGACATGCATACATATAGCCATATGGCCACCGTAGAATCGGTTCCGGACAATCTGGATTATGATTCCGTAGGGTCATATTTGATATGTCTCATAACCAAATCAAGCGACACATAAAATCACATCTACACGATGAACTATGACCAATGACACTCAAAACGACAATAATCGAGCCATATGACCTCCGTGGAATCGGTTCTAGATATTCAAGATTACAGTTCCACATGGACAAATTAGATATCTGTCAAAACCATATCATGCGACACATAAAATCACATCTACTCGATGGAATATGACCAATGGCACTCAAAACAACAACCATAGAATCATATGGACACCATATGTATATTCCGGATTATGGTTGCATATTGCTAAATATGATATCTTTCATAACTATATCAAGTGACATATCAAATCACATCTACTCGACAAAATATCACTAACAAAACAATAACACTGTAGAAACGGCTCTGAGTTTTACGAATTTTTGTTCCATGCGGTCGAAAAGAATTTGTCTCTCATGGTTATGACAAGTGAAATATCAAATCATATCTTCATGAAATATGACCAAAACACTCAAGCACTCAAAACATTAGCCATAGAATCATATGACCATCGTTAAATTTAATCGGATATTGTTGTTTAGAGTGGCAATGAAAACAAATATATAGCTATATTGACTCCATATAATAGGTTTCTGATGATCCAGGTAGTGGGTTTACATTTTTCAAATTCATGAATAATCATTATTATATTACACTGGCCCACATTTATAAGGGGAAAATTTTTTGTAATTTTTTCCTACGGGCCAACCCCTAGATTTGTGACATTAGGTGAAAAAACCACTCTCTTAAAATTACCATACTAAGGTTTAGGTACAAAATTTTGAAAGATAGAAGGTCGAAAGACAGAAGGTCAAAAAACAGAAGGTTGAAAAACAGAAGGAGACAGAAAGTCAAAATACAGAAGGTCGAAAGACAGAAGATCGAAAGACAGAAGATCGAAAGACAGAAAATCGGGAAACAGAAGGTCGCAAGACAGAAGGTTGAAAGACAGAAGGTCGAAAGACAGAAGGTCAAAAAAAAGAAGGTCGAAAGAAAGAAGGTCGAAAGACAGAAGGTCGAAAGACAGAAGGTCGAAAGACAGAAGGTTGAAAGACAGAAGGTCGAATGACAGAACATCGGAAGACAGCAGGTCAAAAGACAGAAGGTTGAAATACAGAAGGTTGAAAGACAGAAGGTCGAAAGACAGAAGGTCGAAAGACAGAATATCGAAAAACAGAAGGTCGCAAGACAGAAGGTCGCAAGACAGAAGGTCGAAAGACAGAAGGTCGAAAGACAGAAGGTCGAAAGACAGAAGATCGAAAGACAGAAGGTCGAAAGACAGAATGTCGAAAGACAGAAGGTCGAAAGACAGAAGGTCGAAAGAAAGAAAGTCGAAAGACAGAAAGTCGAAAGACAGAAGGTCAAAAGACAGAAGCTGGAAAGACAGAAGGTCAAAAGACAGAAGGTTGAAAGAAAGAAGGTCAAAGACAGAAGATCAAAAGACAGAAGGTTGAAAGACAGAAGCTCGAAAGACAGAAGGTCAAAAGACAGAAGGTTGAAAGAAAGAAGGTCGAAAGACAGAACATCGGAAGACAGCAGGTCGAAAGACAGAAGGTCGAAATACAGAAGGTTGAAAGACAGAAGGTCGAAAGACAGAAGGTTGAAAGACAGAATGTCGAAAAACAGAAGGTCGAAAGACAGAAGGTCGAAAGACAGAAGGTCGAACGACAGAAGCTCGAAAGACAGAAGATCGAAAGACAGAAGGTCGAAAGACAGAATGTCGAAAGACAGAAGATCGAAAGACAGAAGGTCGAAAGAAAGAAGGTCGAAAGACAGAAGGTCGAAAGACAGAAGGTTGAAAGACAGAAGGTTGAAAGACAGAAGGTCGAAAGACAGAAGTTCGAAAGACAGAAGGTCGAAAGACAGAAGGCCGAAAGACAGAAAGTCGAAAGACAGAAGGTCGAAAGACAGAAGGTCGAAAGACAGAAGGTCGAAAGACAGAAGGTCGAAAGACAGAAGGTCGAAAGACAGAAAGTCGGAAAACAGAAGGTCAAAATACAGAAGGTCGAAAGACAGAAAGTCGAAATACAGAAGGTCGAAAGAAAGAAAATCGGAAGACAGAAGGTTGAAAGACAGAAGGTCGAAAGACAGAAGGTCGAAAGACAGAAGGTCGAAAGACAGAAGGTCGAAAGACAGAAGGTCGAAAGACAGAAGGTCGAAAGACAGAAGGTCGAAAGACAGAAGGTCGAAAGACAGAAGGTCGAAAGACAGAAGGTCGAAAGACAGAAGGTCGAAAGACAGAAGGTCGAAAGACAGAAGGTCGAAAGACAGAAGGTCGAAAGACAGAAGGTCGAAAGACAGAAGGTCGAAAGACAGAAGGTCGAAAGACAGAAGGTCGAAAGACAGAAGGTCGAAAGACAGAAGGTCGAAAGACAGAAGGTCGAAAGACAGAAGGTCGAAAGACAGAAGGTCGAAAGACAGAAGGTCGAAAGACAGAAGGTCGAAAGACAGAAGGTCGAAAGACAGAAGGTCGAAAGACAGAAGGTCGAAAGACAGAAGGTCGAAAGAAAGAAAATCGGAAGACAGAAGGTTGAAAGACAGAAAGTCGAAAGACAGATGGTCGAAAGACAGAAGGTCGAAAGACAGAAGGTCGAAAGACAGAGGGTCGAAAGACAGAAGGTCGAAAGACAGAAGGTCGAAAGACAGAAGGTCGAAAGACAGAAGGTCGAAAGACAGAAGATCGAAAGACAGAAAATCGGGAAACAGAAGGTCGCAAGACAGAAGGTTGAAAGACAGAAGGTCGAAAGACAGAAGGTCAAAAAAAAGAAGGTCGAAAGAAAGAAGGTCGAAAGACAGAAGGTCGAAAGACAGAAGGTCGAAAGACAGAAGGTCGAAAGACAGAAGGTCGAAAGACAGAAGGTTGAAAGACAGAAGGTTGAAAGACAGAAGGTCGAATGACAGAACATCGGAAGACAGCAGGTCAAAAGACAGAAGGTTGAAAGACAGAAGGTCGAAAGACAGAAGGGTGAAAGACAGAAGGTCGAAATACAGAAGGTCGAAAGACAGAAGTTCGAAAGACAGAAGGTCGAAAGACAGAAGGTCGAAAGACAGAAGGTCGAAAGACAGAAGGTCGAAAAACAGAAGGTCGAAAGACAGAAGGTCGAAAGACAGAAGGTCGAAAGACAGAAGGTCGAAAAACAGAAGGTCGAAAAACAGAAGGTCGAAAGACAGAAGGTCGAAAGACAGAAGGTCGAAAGACAGAAGGTCGAAAGACAGAAGGTCGAAAGACAGAAGGTCGAAAGACAGAAGGTCGAAAAACAGAAGGTCGAAAGACAGAAGGTCGAAAGACAGAATATCGAAAGACAGAAGGTCGAAAGACAGAAGGTCGAAATACAGAAGGTCGAAAGACAGAAGGTCGAAAGACAGAAGATCGAAAAACAGAAGGTCGAAAGACAGAAGGTCGAAAGACAGA